AATGGGGGACCCCAATATGGTACAAGGACCCCAAAATTGAGGTACCCCTAATTTTCCGAAACTCCCATGTAGCTCGCGCTAGTAGGGATTCTCAAAAACCCTACAAGCAGCCTTTCCGAAGCTGTGCAAAACAGTGTCGAAGACTGTGCATCAGATGCTGGGATCGGTACTTCCAAGTGACGTTGCACCCGTTGGTTCACATCCGCTTGGGGTTCGGGGTTTAGGGTTTAGGGTGCTTAGGGTTTGGGGTCTAGGGTGGATTTAGGTTGAGCTATCTCCGCGACCGCTATCCACTATCTGGCATCAGCCCCGGCAGCAGCTAGTGGCTAGTGCTCAACAAGGACCTAGGCACAGAGAGGCTGACTGCCAAAAAGGCCGTAGTCACCACCTTCGACGTCGCATCACTGGCTGAATCGCTCAAGTTGCTGCTTGTGCTGGTGGTGGTGACAACCGTCGCCGTCTTGCCGGTGACCTGTTTCAGGTTCCAGGTTTAAGTCTACCACATGTCCCCCCCCCTCCGAAAAAAAAAAAGACATAAACACAAAGCAAGTACCCAAAATCAAAACTAAACTCCACGCACGAAGGGATCTGCTGCCCGAAGGGAAGGGATCTAACACCCCAAAGGGGCCCAAAAGCCCGACCTCCACGGTGCCGGTGTAGCCCACGTCCGTGACCGCCTTGGCGATGGCCGTGTTGGTGTCGGCCACGGAGACCTGCTCGATCGCAGCCTTCGTTTCCTGTGGCAAGTAAGCATTTGGGAGTTTCCGAAAATAGGGAACCCTAATATTGCACCCCAAATATCAAAATCCTTATTGTAAGGACCCCAAAATACGGTACCCCTAACTTTCTGAAACTCCCATTTGTAGAAAAGCAAGCGCAGATAAACCCGAAACCTGAACCCCTAACCACAAATGAAACCTAAACCCAAAGCCCTAAGCCTAAGCCGTGTGCTTTTGCTGCCGAGTGTGAGTACAGGACCCCTATGTCGGAATCTCCCCCCCTAACTAAGGCCGACACCCTCAGATCAGATGAAGTTTCTGCATCCGCGATGTCATTGGGGGTTTCGGTTCAGGGTTTTCGGACCTCGCCGGACCCCGACTCATTCTGAACTACACTACCCCCCACATGTTGTGTCGGGTTTTTACTCAAAAAGTCAAGCGCTTCTAGGGTTTAGGGTTTAGGGTTTAGGGTTTATGTTAGTAGAAAACACACTCGGCTCTGGTATCTGGAGCCCCCAAGAAAGCCCCCTGGCTTCCGAAGCTTCCCTCCTCGGCTGCTTGCGCACTGGGGAGGGTCACCTTGAAGATGGCCACGAGCGTGGTGGAGAGCCGCCTTGTGCCAAGGCGTCGAGATGCGTTGACTTCCACAAACTCGACCGTCACCAGCGACGGATCCACTCCCATTGCGCTAGCAAACCCGTCCACCATGGCATCCTTTAACGTCTCGTTCTCGGTAATCACGGTGGGGTCGTCCACTGTGAGCTCCACGGAAACTTCAACGACGGTGGGGACGGGTGCCATTGTGGTCGTGGTCTCGTCGGTCGGGTCGGTCGTGTCGGCGGCGGTGGTGACAGTGCCAGTGGTGGTGACGGTGCCAGTGGTGGTGACGGTGCCAGTGGTGGTGTCCGTCACCGTGTCCGTGGCTGTCATTGTGTCCGTAAGCGTGGTGGTGGCAGTGGCCGTAACCGTGGTAGTAGCCGTGATGGTGGCGGTGGTGGTCACGGTGGTGGTTGGATACACTGGATCAAACGTAACCACATACGCCTGGCCGGATTTCGCACCCGAAAACGCGGCCATCGACCCATCCCCCGTCAGCAATGCAGACTGACAGCCATCCAGCTCGATCTCGACGCTAGGGTCGGTCCCCCAAGTCGTCCTCTGCTCGTCTGGCACTTCTCGCAAGCTAATCCCTCCCGAATATACGACCCTCATCCCGCCCTCAAGCTAGAGTGTAGTATAGTATGGCAATCTTAAACTGCACCACCGTTTTGACAATCATGCATGCGGGGGGAAGCAAGTCAACGTATGGTCTTTCGGTCCTAATATTCGGATCCCACGTTTGTCCCTTTTACCAGGGATCTGCAAACCGGAAACTCTGAGAAATTGGGAGGAGCCGTCTCCCAAAAGCACAGCTTAAGCCACCGTGAGAGTGAATGCTCAAATCACAACCCTTCCCATAGAGACTTCTCGTAGAGCGTCCCACCATCGCCACTGAGCCATGCATACTTGAAGCCGCTCGACTGCAAGGTGCAACAAACGAACATCTTGGAGCCGTCGTCAGACATCGCTGCCGAATCACACGTGTACTGGCCGCGACTGCCAAGTAGGACCTTGGTGGGGGCTTCGTAAATGAGAGGGTCCTAAACTCCGAAACCCCGAGCCTTAAAGATCCTTCATGGGTAGTTGTCAAAATTAAGGTCCCTTTTTTGGGTACCCTAAATATTAGGTGCCATACTATAGTAAGGATCCAAAAAGAACCCTTATCTTGACAACCACCCTCGTGTTCTTGGCCCCTGGTTTCTGGGAATCCGCCTCGGTCCACGTCGCGCCCATGTCGGAGCTCAAGTAAGGCATGCCGCTCTGCACCTTGGTGCTGCGAGAAAGACTTCCGGCACACACGGTTTAGGATTTAGGGTTTAGGATTTTCAAGCTCGCATGATGCGTGGGCTGCCGGCGGCTCAACCGTACTTTCGAAAATACCCTAAACCCTCTCTCGCCAAGTCGCAACAAGGACCTGAATCATGCCATCGGCCGACAGGGCGATGTCACCCATTTGGCTTCCTGAGTTTGGGGCCGCGGCCTCCATCCAGGTCGCGCCCGAATCCGTGCTGGTGTAAACGCCTCCACTACATGGGTAGTTTATAATGTATGTACTCTGCGATAATGTACTATACTAAACCTACTTTAAAATATACTATAGCATACTATAACATACCATAACATACCATAGCATATTGCAACATCATTACCATAATGTGCAACACCGTACTGTACTGCACTGTACTGTGCTATACTATACTATACTACACTATACTGTAATAACCTGTAATTTCATAAAACAACATCTAAAGTCATTCGATATCCTATCGTATCATATAACCTAAGGCCTTTGCCGTTGGAAACCCGAACTGCCTCCATTCGAATATGAGCTGGAGTATTGGGCCGTCACCACAAGGAGGGAGCCGTCGGCTGTCCTTCTGGCAGCGTCAGGTTTACAGGTTTAAGGCTTAGGGTTTTAGGGTTTAGGGTTTAGGGTAATGTAGGAACCTGATTGAGGAACCTTGGGCCTTTATTAAAGCTCCTCCTGTTTTGGGGTTATAGGCCCAAGGTCCCCCAAACTCGCAATTGTCGTGCCAAGCCGCGAAGCTGCGTCTCCGAACCTCATGGCGATGCCGCTTTCCTCAACCCAATTCTGGCCACCGTCCGCGCTTGTTGAAATGTCGGCATCACTCGATGTCACGACGATTTTCGAGCCGTCATCCGACATTGCGGTAGCTGTCCACGCGCTGCGCCTTGTTGGAGATTTATCTTGTCAAGCACACTACAAACAAACCAAGCAGTGATGAATCCTTTGAAACGATGATGGGCATGGCAAGAACACACTGATCTCCAAACAAGAAGAAGGCGCGAGGAGATCTCCGTCCAATTGTCGCCGCCGTTGTCGCTGATCCAAAAGTTCGAACTACGCGGAGCAGTTGAAATCTTAGACCCGTCAGCAGACATGGCCACGCCCATCCAGGGCTTGCTGCCGGGCTCAGTCCTCTGCGTCCAAGTTGCACCCGAGTCCGTGCTGATGTAAAGAGGGGCATTGTCGGGTCCGGCAACCATCTTGGTGCCATCAGCAGACATGGCCACGCGGCAACCGGAGCCAGCGCCGACAAGCACGGAGTTCATACCCCGAGCCAGGCTGAAGACGGACAGCAGCACGAGAGGCAACATGTCAGCAAGCTGAGATGCTTTGAATATGCTCGCAGGGGGATTCTGCACCTTTGGGCCAAACTGCGACTGAAGACTTGGAATAATTGGAATAATTCAGACGTACGCAGGGCAATGACAGCAGCACGGGCAGCACCATCTTCCTCAATCTGTTACTCCATTTGGGAGTTTCCGAGAATAGGGGACCCTCGTCTAATGCCCTAAATAGTAGGGGGTTTAGGGTTTAGGCTCTCTTGGTCGCGGGCCCTCAAGCCTCAACCCTAAACCCTAAACCCGGAGCCCCCTGAAACCCCAACAATCCCAGTCGCTCACCTTCGCCAGTGCTCTGAATTAGGGTTTAGGGTTTCGGGTTTTTTTGGGGGGTGGAAGGTTTAGGGCTGGGGCTTCGTCTTCGAGGCCTGATAGCAAGCAGGTGTCTCGGACTGGAGCCTCGAGGTTGGGAGTTTTGGGGGTTTGGCGTTTTAGGGCACGGGGCTTTACGGGTTTAGTATTCCGGGGGGGGGGGGTGGGGGGTTAGGGGTTTAGGGTTTTTTCGGGTTTAGGGTTTTAGGGTTTAGGGTTTAGGTTTCAGGGTTTAGGGAAAAGGATGAGGGCTGCAACAGCCGCAATACTTAGAATGATTAGAGGGTACTGTAGCTATCACAAGGAACCCAGAAGTGTTGCTGGTTGTCTAGGCTTCTTTACTACGGCTCATGATATAAATCCTGCATTACTTTAAGGATCCTAAACTATGGGAATAGTGGCGTATTATGGGCTATGGGTAATGCAGGATCTATATCATCAACAGTGGGGCTCAGAGTTTGGGGTTTTGGCCTCGGGGCAAAGAACTCCCTGGGACTCCTCAGGACGAAGTTGTCGTGGACATCATCAGCCCTAAGTCCTCCACCCCTAACCCCTAAACCCGAAACCCCTAAACCCCTAAACCCCTAAACCCTAAACTTTAAACTCCCAAACCCTAAACTTAAAGCCCCAAGACCCCTACACCCTAAGACTCACTCACTCACTCACTGCTGATCGGTCCGGGTCCGGCGCAGAACTACAGACGTGCATGCCCAAAAACGAGACTCACTGTGAGTCATCGCAGGCAAAAGCGCAGGAGGCGAGAAACACCTTAGGCGTGACCCAGCGGCTCCGTGCGGAAAATGAAGGTGGCTCGAAGAGGACGAACACAGGGAGAAGGGCCCCGCGGAGCCGGAGAGCAAAGAGCAAGCAGCTCAGACCACCACGAGGCAGGACAAGATGGATGGTGCGCAGCGAAAACGGCACCCCCATCCAAATTGGCAATGCGGAAAGTGGCATCGGGAAGAAGACGCCGGAGGACCGAGATCCCATCCCGGCTGGGGACGCCCCAGCACCACACTGCACCGCCAAAGCGGACGCGAAGACACACCTGCCGAAAAGAGACAGTGGCAGCCAGAAGGTTCTGAAGGGCGGCCGGAGGCTCACGAGACGATGAGCAACGCGTTTCAGCAGCAGCCCGGAGGACACGAAAGGCAGATTTGACACCTGAATCCCAGGGATGAAGGCGATCAACTGCGTGCCAGCATTTCCAGAAGCGATGCCAGGTCCGAGGGAGCTGCCAAACGGTCTGCACGTGCCCCCAGACAGCCCAGAGGGGGGAGGGCAAATGCCATGCATCGACGGCCTCACCCCAGTCGAAGAGGCATCTCCATTCGCAACGACCATGATTCACGCGACCATCACCAGGCCGAGCAGGAACTACATGGGCAGTATGCATGGCCTCAAGGCTCGCCCGCGCTGTGGCAGGCATAGTCGGATCAGTGTCCGGTGGGGCGACCTCATGCTCGACACCTCCATGTGGTGGTTGTGCGCCCGGATGATTCAGATCCGGCCAGTCATACACGTGGGCGGCCCCAGTTGCAAGTAGGAGCTCGCGTGCGGCCAACGGCTTGGGGCTGAGCCTTCAGGCAGTCTGGGTGAGCGGGCGGAGGGATCGGTAGCAACGCAAGGTTAGCGTTTAGGGTTTACGGTGGAGCATTTTATACCGCAAGGACTGTGAGAGCTAAGTCAGGAGCACACTGGTCAGTTCAGTTGAAAATGACGGTCTGTCTGTCTATCTGTATGGCTAGCTGTCTGTCTGTCTATGTCTGCTGTGCATAGAGACATAGATGAATACAGAAGCAGGTAGATATAGGTAGAGTTACAGTTAGTGCATATAAGAAACATCTTCATGCTTTTGCCTAGCTGCACACACACACAAACAATCTTACTTACGTACTTACACAAAACGGATACATATGTTTATGTATTGAGCCATAGCACTACTACAACTACTACTACTACTACTACTACTACTACTACTACTACTGCTACTGCTACTGCCACTAGTTATTGGCCCTTATCACAACCCTTCTTGCTGAACCCTCCCGCGGATCCTCCTGAGGCAGAACTCCGGAACAGGGTTCGGACTTGTTTGGGCTCATTAGAGCTACACTTTCGGGTTTAGGATTTCGGATTTAGGGGTTTAGGGTTTAGGATTACAGTAAACCCCATAAGTTGGGGAAACCGGATTAAGGCCAAATAGTGGCACTTTTAAAGATTGAGGCTATTGGGTTTCCAACTTTTGGGCTTCTACTGTAGGGTTCAGGATTTAGGGCTTAGGGCCTCATAAGGGCTTGGGGTTAGAAGCTGAGGGGGCAGGGGCTCTGGCTTCGTGCTGCGGGATTCAGGCTGTGGGTTTTAGGCTCACAAGCAATGCATGCCTTGCAAGTGGGTGGTTGCCAAAATTATGGTCCCTTTTTGGGCACCCTAAATATTAGGTGCCGTATTAATGACAGGGACCCCAAAAAATACCCTAATTTTGGCAACCACCCAAGTAGAAGGGAAGCGACCACCCTGAAGCAAACGCCCACAAGCAATGCATACGAGGCTGCGCCCGGAAGCATCTCATGTGTAAACACCAAACGCACAACCCTAACTCAAAGCTCAACTATTGAATCTCAAGCCAAACATCCACTCCTGATCCCGAAATGTACCCCTAAAACCAAGTCTTGAAGTCTCTCTCAACCTACGATCGCAAGCGCCATGGAAAGTTTGGGGTTTAGGATTCTACAATTTAGGGTTTGATTTTAGCACTTCGGGTTTACGGGTCTATTAGGATTAGGATTTACGGATTAAGGCTTCGGCAGAGGAGATCCAAAATCAGCGAAGACAAAACAAAACCCGCAAGTCCGGGGCTGCACCGAGCGGCCGCGTCCACAGAAGGTACCTCTGGCGAGACCAAGTTCTCGTGCGACTGGACTCCAATATCCTGCCGGGTCGGATGGTTTCGGGGCTGTGGTGTTAGGTCTGCGCACATTTTGGAACTCACGGGTGCGAGATTGAAAATACAGCCTTACTAGCCCTATATTGACATGTGGCTCACATCCACGATACGAGAAAAGTCTGAGTTGAACTTCCGCAATGATAAGCCGGGAATCTGATGAAATCCCCATACTTAGTTCACCGTCGTCTGACGCTTTCAGAACTTCATGCAAGCCCATCTAATGGGGGGCTTTGGGCTTAGGGGTATCGGCTTTAGGGTTCAGGGTCCTCAGGGTTTAGGGTGTTAGAACTGTTAGGGGCTTACTTTAGGGTTTAGGGTTTAGGGTGTTAGGACTGTTAGGGGCTTAGGGTTTAGGGTTTTTGGGATTTGGGTCTGCGCATCTCTTTTTCCTTCTTGTGCTGGATGCACGAGAGTTACTCTAGAGTACAATTTATGGTCTTGTCCTCCGACCGAGAGGCTCTTCGGCTCTCAATCATTCAGAGGCACAGCAGAAGCAGTTGCCAAAATTCTCGGAGCTCTTCGGGGGAACTGCAGGGTTTAGGGGTTTAGGGTTTCCTATAGTACCGTTCCATTCCGACAGCACGCAATAAAACCCTACACCCTAGACACCAATAATGCACCCAACGGGATGCGGCATGCTTCTTCCCATCCCTCACCTGTTTTTAGCACATTAGGGCTACCTTAGGGTTCCTTTAAAAGGTTAATACAAGGGTACTATAAGGGTTCCTTTAAAGGCTTAGTATACCTGTTTTTAGCCCCAGAGCTCCAGTAGTCGAATTGTTCAGGATGCGGCGGCAAGGAGATTCAGAGTTTGGGGGTTTAGGGTTTGGGGTTTAGGGTTTAGGGTTTAGGGTTTAGGGTTTGGGGAAACCCTAGCCTATAGTGACTCCAAGCTTAGGGTTTAGGGTTTGGGGGTTTAGGGTTTGGGGAATCCCTAGCCTATAGTGACTCCAAGCTTAGGGTTTAGGGGTTTAGGGCCCAAGTCTACCCCCCAACATGCAACTATAGTCCCACAAGTACCCTATCATGGCAACATGGAGCTCGGGGCTGCCGGCTCCAAAAGGTCATGTAACCTGCACATTAGGGATCTTTTTTTTAAGTGCAATGACCCTTTCGCACTCCGCAGGCAAGCAGAATGGGACTTGAGCCCACCCGTCTCGGGCATACACTACACTTTAGGGTTTTGGGTTTCGGGTTTAGGGATTAGGGTTTAGGGTTTAGGGACCGACTCTGAAGACCCTTATCTTGATGAAGCCCCTTAACTTGCCTACTGGGTGGTTGTCAATATTAGGGTCCCGTTCAGGGGGGTCCTTGTTATAATACGGCGCCTAAGATTTAGGGCACCCAAAAAGGGGCCCTAATTTTGACAACCACCCTACTTAGACTGCCCCTAAACCCGAAACCCCTAAACGCCTGATCTCATGACATGAAAATATTGAGATCAGCCTCCCTCTACTCTAAAGGAAAGGCCACGTGCTCGCTTCGGGAAGCCTAAAACCCAGATCCACCTTACGGTCAGCCTTCACGCAAAGACTTCTAGCAAGAAACCCAAAGAGTGAAGGGGCGCTTGGATTCTCTTGCCGGCTTCCTAAAATGACCCCCATCCATTGAACGGGGGCTGCACCATAAACTCCTGAGCCACTGATCACTACTGTGGGTCAGGAGCCGAGACACGAATTAAGCGAGTCACGTCGTGCACCTGTGCCTGCGTCCTATGAGGATGCGCTTCTATCGTCGGGTCAAGAAAGACCCGCCAAAAGGATACCCTTTCCAGGAATAGAGAAAAGTAGGGTCTGGGTTTGGAGTCTTTATGGTTCGTGGGCTGCAATGCTCCTAAAGCCTTAACTTAGCCCTAAACCCTGCTGTTAGGACTTGCAAAGAGAGGGGCGAAGTGCTTTGTCCCTACGCCCTTAACCCTCAACCTGCCGTTACGTGGAGGTTCACAGGTAGTTACAAGTGGCAATATGAGTCCCCTGATATGGCTTGTACTTATACTTACCCTACGTATAACTACCCATGAACCTCCAAGTAGACCCTAAGCCCTACACCCTTATAGAACCTTTAAAGGGGCCCTTAAAGGAACCCTTGTGACTACCCACGAACCTCCAAGAAGGCCATTGAAAGAGGCGCATCCCCTCTGGCTGCCACAGGCAATCTCGTCGCCGACCCACTGGCTCCAACAATCAGAGGCGTCTGTGACTCTTACCATAACTACTATTACTACGGTTGATGATATAAATCCTGCGTTACATCCCCCCCGTCTTCGTGGGTGGGGGGGTACAAATTGAAACTTTCAATTCCGGACTCTCCCCCACCCCCAGAATGCATCCGCAGGACTCGTAATTGAAACATTTCTGCTTGGACACCTTCACAGCTAAAGCATAACATAAGTATGATAGAGACAACATGTAATTGAAACTTTTCTTCGGTTGACATGTCGAAGGCACTCCCAAGTTGTTTCGGACACTGTTTTGGGCTCTCGCGACAGAGCAGGGTGCACGTGCTGTCTCGTGGGTGCCTTTGGCATCCCAAAAAGGTCTGGCAACCTCACGGCTCCTTCTTTCAAAGCTGAAACCTTAGGGTTGAAACTTCAGCCTTCTAGGATCCAGGTCTTCCCGCTCACCACGACCCTAGATGAGTGGAATCGGTATGAATCGGGCGGTGCTTGCGGTGTGTCCACCAGGATCTGCCAAGCCACGTAAAAGGCCCTGCAGCTGCCTGCCCCGTGGACTCGACGCCGAAGGGGACCGTGGCGATGCAGGCGAGTCCTGCATGCCAAGGCAACAACGGGTCGTAAATAAGCAGGTGTGATTCAGGCTCGTTCCAAAGCCCAGTCGCCTCAGACGACGACGATGCAACCTCTGGCTTCTTTGTCATCGCCTGAGTTCATCAATGCTCAAGGACTGCTTGGTGCTATCATGTGCAACCGCACACCTATCGAATGCAAGCCAGGCACGAAGAACGCTTGGACCTTCTGGTGACAAGTGAGCAGCGAGTCGGAGTCGTGCACCTTCAGGTGTTCCTCAGCTGATAGTCCGCGAGAAATCGATAGTCGGTGCTGCGGTATGCTGCGTAATGCCGCGGAGCTGCCGGGATCTCCATCGTCCGCAGAGCTTCCGACATCTCTCGATCTCGCTGCTCACGCTCCACCTAAGTGTAGGTCACAGTCGCCAGGAGACGCCTCCAATTCAGCCCAGCAACCTTGGCCCGGAACGCCGCTATCTCCAAGGCTCTCGCGGCCGCCGTGGCTGGGTCATCATGAAGGAGAGTGCCATAGCGACCAGGGCGAACTTTTCTCCTGGAAAGAGGAGAAAAGTGACAGAGAGAGCGAAAGAGAGCCAGAGAGAGAGAGCCAGAGAGAGAGCAAAACGGCGGCCAAAAGGCCTCCGCCTTGGCCGCAACCGATGAGACCTTTGTACCTGGGCTCACGAATGCTCAGATCTCATAGAGAGCGGTCTCTCCTATTTAGATGAGTCACGTCTGGATCTCGCCAGTCGCTCTCTCCCGAGAGAGAGAAACCCAGTTGAGAAATGCTTCGGCGCAGTGAAAGAAGCTGTTAGCCCGGTCTGGCAGGATGCGGCTGCAGAGTGAAAGAAGCTGTTAGCCCGGTCCGGTCTGGCAGGATGTGGCTATGGTGAGTGTGCTGCATGCTTCATGGTCCTCTCTTCTCCCTGGCTTGCCTAAACGGCTTCGGAACCTCCGTTCACAACAAGGCCAAGCAATTCCGGGCGAGCTCAGACCGACGAGGCACCTGGCCTGCTTGGCGATCTGGGCCTTCGTCGGTGTTCTCGTCGTACGACTCCAGCTCTTTCCGCCAGGGATCCTGACAGAAGCATCAGAGGCCATGCCAATCAAAGTTTTCAGGTATGCTTCGAAGCAGTGCTTAGGCATCGACGTCCAAAACTCGTGGTGACTCGCTCTCTCGCCGGCTCCGCCCTGGAACTTCCAATCACACCTCGCGAGCAACACTGTGCTTAGCCCTCCAAATCTGCAGATCTGGATCGAACAAGGCAGCCATCGTCTTGCCAGGGCAGGAAGCCACGCCCTGGAGAAGGTTTCTGATTTTGTGGCCGGTTTTCTGATGCTTTCGAGACTCGGCTTGGGGATCACAAAGGGGCTGTCGCCCCGCAGTGGCGTCATCAGCCGCCAACCATTTTTTACCGCGCCCCATCACGTGTGTCTGTTCGTCTTTCTGCTTTGGTGGCCTTCTGCTGTTGCTGATTTCGTCTGTGAGAGCTCCGAGCGCTGCAAGCACACACACGCACAGCACATGTCTGCAACATTCTGCAACTGACCGCAAGTCTCTGCAGCACTCTCTCACCCTCTCAGACACCGCTTTGAAACACTATCCCCCACCCCCCCCCCCAAATCTCAATGCTTGTACTTCCCATATAGCCTGGGAGTGCACTAGTTCTTCCCCTACACGCCACCCCTATATGGTTTTCCCTTGTAGTCCCTTAATGGAAGCTACCCAAACTGTAATGGAAACCGGATATTGAAATTCAATTATGTGCCCCCCCCCCCCCCCCCAATGTTTCAATTATAAGGCTGGGGGGATTGCGTTACCCATAATAAGGAATATACCATTATTCCCATAGTTCAGGGTCCTTAAGGTAATGCAGGATTTATATCATCAACCGTACCACTCTTCCATTCCCTACTAACCAAAGGTAAGAACTGTCACCGCTCCAAGCTCAAAACTTACACCCTAAATCCTCAAAACTTAAACCCCAAACCCTCAAACCCTAAACCCTCAAACCCTAAAGTCCTGAAATCCTAAACCCTAAACCCGCCAACCCTCAACCCTGAAAGCATAGACCCGAAGCACAAAACCCCAAACTCTGGCTCGCCATTTACTTTCTTTACAGCCTTGATCGGACAATCTGACTGCTGGGATCCCTGTGCGGGTCGGGGACTGCTGTTGGCCCGCAAGTCTACACATTGCCTCAGACAGTGGGGTTGAGGGTATAAGGAGTAAGGTTTAGGGTCTATAGGGTGTAAGGCTTGAAGATGGAGTTTAGGGAAGGTTGCTGCAGGATGCCCACGACTCTAAACATGACACGGCGCCAAGATCCTACTTATAACAAGGTCGTCGGCCCAAACATTCTAGAAGTCCCAGCAGAAAGAGTACCCAGGAGTTGGAGGCTGCGTGGTGCTATGTTTCAGACTGCTAGATCATGCGATTTAGGGCCTATGGGGCCTAAGGGTGGTAAGTTACCGCGTTACCTTCACTGATCCACGGATACCGGAAACCCCAAGCCCCAAGACCGATAATCCTAAGAGGAGTTCCGTAATAAGCGACCCGTAAAACCCCGTGAGAGCCAAACAGAACGCACAAACCCCCAAGGAACCCTATAAATCCCTATAGATCCCTTTAAAGGAAGCCTATACATCCCTATAGATTCGTAGGGATATTGGAGTCTCATGATAACTATTCATACAACAATCAATCCAGGAGGTTAGAACTCACACTGCAAGTAGCTGACTCCCCTGTGCCATCGAGGCTCAGGCACTAGCCCACACTCAGAAGCATGCCTTGGGTCGAGCGCTCCGGCTTCGGGAAACTAGGATGCCTAGGAAAAACTAGGTAAAAATATTGGGTAACCTTATGAGGAACCAGAGGACTACAAAAAGGGAATAAGGGTACCACACTTTCAACGGAACGTAGGACTACAAAAAAGGGAATAAGGGTACTACAATACTACAACCAGAGAGGGCTGTTCCAACTGACACTTCGCCTCGGGCCTTTAAGCATGAACTCAGAGAGAATCACCTTCAGATGTTCACATGGGAGGTTCAGAAAATGGGGGACCCCAATATGGTACAAGGACCCCAAAATTGAGGTACCCCTAATTTTCCGAAACTCCCATGTAGCTCGCGCTAGTAGGGATTCTCAAAAACCATACAAGCAGCCTTTCCGAAGCTGTGCAAAACAGTGTCGAAGACTGTGCATCAGATGCTGGGATCGGTACTTCCAAGTGACGTTGCACCCGTTGGTTCACATCCGCTTGGGGTTCGGGGTTTAGGGTTTAGGGTGCTTAGGGTTTGGGGTCTAGGGTGGATTTAGGTTGAGCTATCTCCGCGACCGCTATCCACTATCTGGCATCAGCCCCGGCAGCAGCTAGTGGCTAGTGCTCAACAAGGACCTAGGCACAGAGAGGCTGACTGCCAAAAAGGCCGTAGTCACCACCTTCGACGTCGCATCACTGGCTGAATCGCTCAAGTTGCTGCTTGTGCTGGTGGTGGTGACAACCGTCGCCGTCTTGCCGGTGACCTGTTTCAGGTTCCAGGTTTAAGTCTACCACATGTCCCCCCCCCTCCGAAAAAAAAAAAGACATAAACACAAAGCAAGTACCCAAAATCAAAACTAAACTCCACGCACGAAGGGATCTGCTGCCCGAAGGGAAGGGATCTAACACCCCAAAGGGGCCCAAAAGCCCGACCTCCACGGTGCCGGTGTAGCCCACGTCCGTGACCGCCTTGGCGATGGCCGTGTTGGTGTCGGCCACGGAGACCTGCTCGATCGCAGCCTTCGTTTCCTGTGGCAAGTAAGCATTTGGGAGTTTCCGAAAATAGGGAACCCTAATATTGCACCCCAAATATCAAAATCCTTATTGTAAGGACTCCAAAATAAGGTACCCCTAATTTTCGGAAACTCCCATTTGTAGAAAAGCAAGCGCAAATAAACCCGAAACCTGAACCCTTAACCACAAATAAAACCTAAACCCAAAGCCCTAAGCCTAAGCCGTGTGCTTTTGCTGCCGAGTGTGAGTACAGGACCCCTATGTCGGAATCTCCCCCCCTAACTAAGGCCGACACCCTCAGATCAGACGAAGTTTCTGCATCCGTGATGTCATTGGGGGTTTCGGTTCAGGGTTTTCGGACCTCGCCAGACCCCGACCCACTCTGAACTACACTACTCCCCACATGTTGTGTCGGGTTTTTACTCCAAAAGTGAAGCGCTTCTATGTTAGTAGAAAACACACCCGGCTCGGCTCTGGTATCTGGAGCCCCCAAGAAAGCCCCCTGGTTTCCGAAGCTTCCCTCCTCGGCTGCTTGCGCACTGGGGAGGGTCACCTTGAAGATGGCCACGAGCGTGGTGGAGAGCCGCCTTGTGCCAAGCCGTCGAGATGCGTTGACTTCCACAAACTCGACCGTCACCAGCGACGGATCCACTCCCATTGCACTAGCAAACCCGTCCACCATGGCATCCTTCAACGTCTCGTTCTCGGTAATCACGGTGGGGTCGTCCACTGTGAGCTCCACGGAAACTTCAACGACGGTGGGGACGGGTGCCATTGTGGTCGTGGTCTCGTCGGTCGGGTCGGTCGTGTCGGCGGCGGTGGTGACAGTGCCAGTGGTGGTGACGGTGCCAGTGGTGGTGACGGTGCCAGTGGTGGTGTCCGTCACCGTCATCGTGGCCGTAACCGTTTCGGTGGAGGTGTCCGTGGCTGTCATTGTGTCCGTAAGCGTGGTGGTGGCAGTGGCCGTAACCGTGGTAGTAGCCGTGATGGTGGCGGTGGTGGTCACGGTGGTGGTTGGATACACTGGATCAAACGTAACCACATACGCCTGGCCGGATTTCGCACCCGAAAACGCGGCCATCGACCCATCCCCCGTCAGCAATGCAGACTGACAGCCATCCAGCTCGATCTCGACGCTAGGGTCGGTCCCCCAAGTCGTCCTCTGCTCGTCTGGCACTTCTCGCAAGCTAATCCCTCCCGAATATACGACCCTCATCCCGCCCTCAAGCTAGAGTGTAGTATAGTATGGCAATCTTAAACTGCACCACCGTTTTGACAATCATGCATGCGGGGGGAAGCAAGTCAACGTATGGTCTTTCGGTCCTAATATTCGGATCCCACGTTTGTCCCTTTTACCAGGGATCTGCAAACCGGAAACTCTGAGAAATTGGGAGGAGCCGTCTCCCAAAAGCACAGCTTAAGCCAGCGTGAGAGTGAATGCTCAAATCACAACCCTTCCCATAGAGACTTCTCGTAGAGCGTCCCACCATCGCCACTGAGCCATGCATACTTGAAGCCGCTCGACTGCAAGGTGCAACAAACGAACATCTTGGAGCCGTCGTCAGACATGGCTGCCGAATCACACGTGTACTGGCCGCGACTGCCAAGTAGGACCTTGGTGGGGGCTTCGTAAATGAGAGGGTCCTAAACTCCGAAACCCCAAGCCTTTAAGATCCTTCATGGGTAGTTGTCAAAATTAAGGTCCCTTTTTTGGGTACCCTAAATATTAGGTGCCATACTATAGTAAGGATCCAAAAAGAACCCTTATTTTGACAACCACCCTCGTGTTCTTGGCCCCTGGTTTCTGGGAATCCGCCTCGGTCCACGTCGCGCCCATGTCGGAGCTCAAGTAAGGCATGCCGCTCTGCACCTTGGTGCTGCGAGAAAGACTTCCGGCACACACGGTTTAGGATTTAGGGTTTAGGATTTTCAAGCTCACATGATGCGTGGGCTGCCGGCGGCTCAACCGTGCTTTCGAAAATACCCTAAACCCTCTCTCGCCAAGTCGCAACAAGGACCTGAATCATGCCATCGGCCGACAGGGCGATGTCACCCATTTGGCTTCCTGAGTTTGGGGCCGCGGCCTCCATCCAGGTCGCGCCCGAATCCGTGCTGGTGTAAACGCCTCCACTACATGGGTAGTTTATAATGTATATACTCTGCGATAATGTACTATACTAAACCTACTTTAAAATATACTATAGCATACTATAACATACCATAACATACCATAGCATATTGCAACATCATTACCATAATGTGCAACACCGTACTGTACTGCACTGTACTGTGCTATACTATACTATACTGTAATAACCTGTAATTTCATAAAACAACATCTAAAGTCATTCGATATCCTATCGTATCATGTAACCTAAGGCCTTTGCCGTTGGAAACCCGAACTGCCTCCATTCGAATATGAGCTGGAGTATTGGGCCGTCACCACAAGGAGGGAGCCGTTGGCTGTCCTTCTGGCAGCGTCAGGTTTACAGGTTTAAGGCTTAGGGTTTTAGGGTTATAGGGTTTAGGGTAATGTAGGAACCTGATTGAGAAACCTTGGGCCTTTATTAAAGCTCCTCCTGTTTTGGGGTTATAGGCCCAAGGTCCCCCAAACTCGCAATTGTCGTGCCAAGCCGCGAAGCTGCGTCTCCGAACCTCATGGCGATGCCGCTTTCCTCAACCCAATTCTGGCCACCGTCCGCGCTTGTTGAAATGTCGGCATCACTCGATGTCACGACGATTTTCGAGCCGTCATCCGACATTGCGGTAGCTGTCCACGCGCTGCGCCTTGTTGGAGATTTATCTTGTCAAGCACACTACAAACAAACCAAGCAGTGATGAATCCTTTGAAACGATGATGGGCATGGCAAGAACACACTGATCTCCAAACAAGAAGAAGGCGCGAGGAGATCTCCGTCCAATTGTCGCCGCCGTTGTCGCTGATCCAAAAGTTCGAACTACGCGGAGCAGTTGAAATCTTAGACCCGTCAGCAGACATGGCCACGCCCATCCAGGGCTTGCTGCCGGGCTCAGTCCTCTGCGTCCAAGTTGCACCCGAGTCCGTGCTGATGTAAAGAGGGGCATTGTCGGGTCCGGCAACCATCTTGGTGCCATCAGCAGACATGGCCACGCGGCAACCGGAGCCAGCGCCGACAAGCACGGAGTTCATACCCCGAGCCAGGCCGAAGACGGACAGCAGCACGAGAGGCAACATGTCAGCAAGCTGAGATGCTTTGAATATGCTCGCAGGGGGATTCTGCACCTTTGGGCCAAACTGCGACTGAAGACTTGGAATAATTCAGACGTACGCAGGGCAATGACAGCAGCACGGGCAGCACCATCTTCCTCAATCTGTTACTCCATTTGGGAATTTCCGAGAATAGGGGACCCTCGTCTAATGCCCTAAATAGTACGGGGTTTAGGGTTTAGGCTCTCTTGGTCGCGGGCCCTCAAGCCTCAACCCTAAACCCTAAACCCGGAGCCCCCTGAAACCCCAACAATCCCAGTCGCTCACCTTCGCAGTGCTCTGAATTAGGGTTTAGGGTTTCGGGTTTTTTGGGGGGTGTAAGGTTTAGGGCTGGGGCTTCGTCTTCGAGGCCTGATAGCAAGCAGGTGTCTCGGATTGGAGCCTCGAGGTTGGGAGTTTTGGGGGTTTGGCGTTTTAGGGCACGGGGCTTTACGGGTTTAGTATTCCGGGGGGGGGGGGGTTAGGGGTTTAGGGTTTTTTCGGGTTTAGGGTTTAGGGTTTTAGGGTTTAGGGTTTAGGGTTTCAGGGTTTAGGGAAAAGGATGAGGGCTGCAACAGCCGCAATACTTAGAATGATTAGAGGGTACTGTAGCTATCACAAGGAACCCAGAAGTGTTGCTGGTTGTCTAGGCTTCTTTACTACGGCTCATGATATAAATCCTGCATTACTTTAAGGATCCTAAACTATGGGAATAGTGGCGTATTATGGGCTATGGGTAATGCAGGATCTATATCATCAACAGTGGGGCTCAGAGTTTGGGGTTTTGGCCTCGGGGCAAAGAACTCCCTGGGACTCCTCAGGACGAAGTTGTCGTGGACATCATCATCATCAGCCCTAAGTCCTCCACCCCTAACCCCTAAACCCGAAAGCCCTAAACCCCTAAACCCTAAACTCTAAACTCCCAAACCCTAAACTTAAAAGCCCCAAGACCCCTACACCCTAAGACTCTACAATCCCTAAATCCTCAACCCCTAGACTCCCCCGACCCCTATACCCTCAGCCCCTACACCCCAAGCCGCAAAACGCTCCACATCACGACGTCACCTCCAGCTCCAGGTCGTCAAAGTCGAAGTCGAAGCCTATGTGCTTCGCCATCTGCTTGGAAGCAAACCTGCTCTCTGACAGTGAACACTTGAGGTTTAGGTTAGAAGCTGCCCCCACCCTGTAATAGTTACTATAAGGACTATATCAGGGCCCTATTATATTCCTATTATATTCCTATTATATTCCTATTATATTCCTATTAAACCACTATTACAAGGTCCGGGGGAGCTTCTACGGTTCAGGGTTAAGTCGGGTCCTGCTTGGGGTAACTCCACTTAGGGTACTTATAACTCTACCTATAGGTTTAGGGTTTAGGGTTTAGGGTTCAGGGTTTAGGGTTTACTTACTAAGTCCCCTGCCCCTCCAAGCAGGGTTGTAGGATTTAGGGGTTATACGAGGTTCGGGCGGCTTCTCGGCTCGATGCGCGGTTGCTTTGCAGCCGCTTCTGTGTGCAGAAATCAGGTTTAGGGAATGTACGCTTAAACCTAAACCCTAAACCCCTAACCCCTAAAACCCTAAACCCCTAAACCCTAAAACCCTAAACAAGTATAGGGATTTCAGCCTTTTAGGGCCTCCCAATGAGGGAATCCTCGATACAGAGCACAGCAGATCCGCAGTACCGTCAGACATGTCCGGGGCCAGTTTCTGAGGGGGCTCCTTACCTGGAGGATCAGGGGAGTGAGAGGACCTTATATGGGGCTGTAAGTCATTATGAGTCTAGGTACCTTAACTATAACCCTAGTTACTAAGTCCCATGATCCTCTTAGTAGACCCTAATCCCCAAACCCTATAGATCCCTTTAAGGAACCCCTATATAGATCCCTTGAAAGGGGCCCTTTTTAAGGAACCCTAGTTACTAAGTCCCATGATCCTTCAAGTAGAGTTGTTGGGATCCCACTGCTTCCGGGTCTTTGCCACTTCTGGGGACCCCAAAAGAATTCACTGCAGGGGCTTAGGTTGGGCTTACTTGGAGCTTACTCGGGTGGTTACAAGGGGGTATGGGTCATAATTAAAGGCACCCTGCTGATTTATAAGCCTACTTATGACTACCCATGAACCCTACACCCTAATCCCAAAGGATCCCTTTACCCTATAGATCCATTTAAAGGAACCGTACTTACAAAGTTACTTATAACTACCCATGAACCTCCAAGTAGGGGTCCTGGGGAAAAGACGGAGGGCTCTCGCCTTGCATGGATCTTTTGGCGCAGCCGGTAAGTTGGAGCGGAAACGGACGACCTCAAGAAGGGTGGGATTCAGGGTTCAAGGATTACGGTATGGTTTAGGGTTTAGGATTCAGGGATTAGGGTATGGTTTAGGGTTTCGGGCTAGGGGTATGGTTTAGGGTCTAGGGTAGGACCTCAAAACGGATCCACAGCTTCGACAGAGACGACTCCCTCGAAGAAACCACGGGTCCCGCATTGGAACCCGTAGACTTTTGTGAGGGCTATAATCGGCTATGGTCTCTTCCCGGATGGTACCTAGATAATTCATCCAATTCGGGTCCCTGTTTGGGTCCGAAAAATAGCACCCTCGTAACTATAACCCTAAGCCCTAAACCCTAAAACCCCTAAACTGTGGATCCGACAAATAGCACCTTCGTAACTATAAAACACACCCTGAGGGGGCAACCCGCAGCTCAGAGCAGAGATAGATGCCCCAGGTCTGCGAGATCCAGGTACTTGGAGGATCAGGGCCAATATACTAGGTTCCTTTAAGGGCTCCTTCAAGGGATCTATATAGGGTTCCTTAAAGGGATCTATAGGGTTTAGGGTTTAGGGTCTACTTGGAGGATCAGGGGACTTAGTAAGTTAGGTTATAAGTACCTTGATTGGGGCTATAAGTAATTATAAGTATAGTTGCCTTAATTATAACCCTAGCTACTAAGTCCCATGATCCTTCAAGTAGGATTCCTGAGGAAGTCACACGGAAGTTGAACAAAGGACTGGTCCGACCCTAGCATAGAGAAACCTGCGCAGTCAATCATGCTATTCCTAGGGCGCCTCAGCAAAAGTATAGTGAAAACACAAGCCCAACAACCCTATTCCAATTACTGCAGCCCTTATATGGGAGTTTCCGAAAATTAGGGGTACCTTATTCTTGGGTCCATATAACAAGGATCCTACTACTTAGGGTACTGTACTAGGGCCCCCTATTCTCGGAAACTCCCATATGCACTCAGCTCGACCCTGGCTCCCTTGCCCACCCCCTACTTGGAGGATCAGGGGACTTAGTAAGCTAGGTTATAAGTACCGAATTGGGGTTACAAGCAATTATAAGTATAGTTACCTTAATTATAACCCTAGTTACTAAGTCCCATGATCCTTCAAGTACCCCCCCTCCTGCCTCACTGCCGAAACAGGTGCGGCTCTCGCTCTTCATGCGCAGCTTCCTGGAGTTCCGACACAGGGCAGGTTTCTAGGGTTACCGACAGCCGCATATATACACATGCAGCAGAGGACACGCATTCCACGGCAAACTTCAAACCAATCAGTTTTCCAGAATGCAAAAGAACTACAACCCCCAAGCCGCAGTCACAGAGCGATATCAGAGACAAACAAACTTCTCGGCACCAGCTTTTTTGCATCTCGCTAAATATCCTCTGTGAGGCCAGCCAGGCACTTGCAGCAACACCATTTGCTGAGGCACCAATGTTCGAAGAGCCCTTATTCAGAGACTATTGAACAGCTGTCCTGATCACACACTCGTCCGAGCACCTGCGCAGCTTCGAGCGAGCGACAAAAGAGGCGTGCCCTAGGCACTTGCTCGATGATGATCCCGAGCAGCTGTAGCTTCAGAGCAATATCCTCGTTGACCGATTGACGAAGGACTTTCACATGAAACTTGAAATGATTGCAAAGAGCGGTGTCGGCACTATCTTCGAAGAACCAAGCGGAAGGGCAGATCCTCCTTTGTGCAAGCAATGCTGTTTTTGTGCTGCAGCACTTGAGGGCCAGCAGCACTGCATGCTCTGGGAGCTGTCTGAAGCCAAGCTTTTTTGCCGGCAATGGCCTAAATTCGTGCCAGGACCAGAGCGGAGGTGTCGGCAGCGTCAGCAGCACATAGCGTAGCACTGTATCACCAACCACAGCGAGTTGCTGGTCTTTGACTTGATTTGACTGGACTAGTTGGCCGTGCATTCTCACAGAAGACCAAGACAGGCTGTGCTGCGCACATCGTGGCCCACGCTTGATCAGCTTCGCCACCATTTCTCATAAGGCAGACTTCAATCGAAACTTACATGGACCAGAGACAACGCTACCAGAGGCAACACTGCGAAGACAGCAGGCTGACGCAACGCGGAACTTGAGGAAGCTACCTGCTACCTGTTGCTCGCATTCACCAAACGGGAAGCGCAACCTAGGCCACCCAGGCATTTGACTGGGAACACAGGGCGCGAGCTGGCTGCGCTCAGGATGTGTCAACCGCAAGGTTCACCACGCTCTCAGCAGGAAAGACGGGCCTGCCGCGCCTCTGAACCCTGCTCTTCCAAAAAGGAGAAGCGCAGGCCGGACAGGACATTCGCACCACAAGCAGGCGAGGGCAGCTGCGCCGGAATTGCACCCCCTTCACCTGAAGTACCTCAGACTCGGTGCCTGGACACACTTGACCGGCGACGCATCACACAGGTGCGAGGGACACAGAGAGTGGATTCACCGCGAGACCCTCCATGACAGCTGAGAAAATTGCCTGTGCATCCTTGTGCGCGCTTTCTTATCTTTGCAGCATGCCTTGGCCTTGCCATGTAAACCTGCGTGATGCTGAAGCCTCGAAGCGCAGCTGGAGAAGCACGCCCTCCCACGAGCACCATGCGCATGCAGTGCTGATGCAGCCCTTTCTGACTGCTGCTGTTGCACGGAGCTTGCAGCTTTCTTCCCCCATCTTGAACCTGCGTTAGCGTCCAGGAACTCGTCGACCCCCAAGCTAGAGCGCTTTCTTCAGCTGTCCAGCCTTCTCGCACGTGATCCAAGTATGAACTTCGACTGTCTTACCGGCATGCACCTGCACCCCGTCCTAAAACGAGTACAAGTTTTCGCTCCGACATTTGGACTGGTGACCGGTGCCTTGCGGAACGCCGTACCTTGTGATTGGGTCTTGCGTTTCGGGTTTAGGGTTTAGCGTCTAGGGCTAGCTTGGGCATGCCCGAGGAGCTGGCAAAGCCCGTGCTCGATGCCTCACATTCTGAGGCGACATCGGCGAAGTCTTGCAACGACTTCCCTTCCGACCAGTTCGCGTGTCCTGCTGCGACGGTGCCGCAAGCAGGCGCAGCTGCGCCCAGGCATGAACTTCGACTGTCTTACAGGCATGCACCTGCAGCCCGTCCTAAAACCAGTACAAGGTTTCGCTCCCACATCTGGACTGGTGGCTTGCGGCTCGCCGTACCTTGTGATTGGGTCTTCCGTTTCGGGTGTAGGGTTTAGGGTCTAGGGCTAGCTTGGGCATGCCCGAGGAGCTGGCAAAGTCCGTGCTCGTGCCTCACATTCTGAGGCGACATCGGCGAAGTCTTGCAACGACTTCCCTTCCGACCAGTTCGCGTGTCCTGCTGCGACGGTGCCGCAAGCAGGCGCAGCTGCGCCCAGGCATGAACTTCGACTGTCTTACAGGCATGCACCTGCAGCCCGTCCTAAAACCAGTACAAGGTTTCGCTCCCACATCTGGACTGGTGGCTTGCGGCTCGCCGTACCTTGTGATTGGGTCTTCCGTTTCGGGTGTAGGGTTTAGGGTCTAGGGCTAGCTTGGGCATGCCCGAGGAGCTGGCAAAGCCCGTGCTCGATGCCTCACATTCTGAGGCGACATCGGCGAAGTCTTGCAACGACTTCCCTTCCGACCAGTTCGCGTGTCCTGCTGCGACGGTGCCGCAAGCAGGCGCAGCTGCGCCCAGGCATGAACTTCGACTGTCTTACAGGCATGCACCTGCAGCCCGTCCTAAAACCAGTACAAGGTTTCGCTCCCACATCTGGACTGGTGGCTTGCGGCTCGCCGTACCTTGTGATTGGGTCTTCCGTTTCGGGTGTAGGGTTTAGGGTCTAGGGCTAGCTTGGGCATGCCCGAGGAGCTGGCAAAGCCCGTGCTCGTGCCTCACATTCTGAGACGATATCGGCGAAGTCTTGCAACGACTTCTCTTCCGACCAGGTGTCCTGCTGCGACGGTGCCGCAAGCAGGCGCAGCTGCGCACAGGTATGAACTTCGACTGTCTTACCGGCATGCACCTGCACCCCGTCCTAAAACAACTACAAGTTTTCGCTCCCACATTTGGACTGGTGGCTCACGGATCACCGTTCCTTGAGATTGAGTCTTCCGTTTCGGGTCTAGCGTTTAGGGTCTAGAGTCTAGGGCTAGCTTGGGCATGCCCGAGGAGCTGGAAAAGCCCGTTCTCGCTCGAGCAGTCAGCTCTTGCAGGGCGGACGCACAGCCGAGCCCTTGGCCCTTGCTGCATCAAACACATGTCTCCGGTAGCAAAGGCCATTGCGTTCGTGACGCAGGCTTCGTCGGAAATCAAGCATGCGGATCCAACGCGGTTTTCGTGACGCCCAAAACTCTAAGAGCATGCCGGTGGAGTGGGAATGACGGCTGCTGCGGCAAGGCAACAGCGAAAGCACACTGTGCAGCCCTTGGGGATGCCCGAGGAGATGGCAAAGCCCGTGCTCGATGCCTCACATTCTGAGACGATATCGGCGAAGTCTTGCAACGACTTCCCTTCTGACCAGTTCGCGTGTGCACAGGCGACTGTCTTACCGGCATGCACCTGCACACCGTCCTAAAACCAGTACAAGGTTTCGCTCCCACATCTGGACTGGTGGCTTGCGGCTCGCCGTCCCTTAAGATTGAGTCTTCCGTTTCGGGTTTAGGGTTTAGGGTCTAGGGCTAGCTTGGGCATGCCCGAGGAGCTGGCAAAGTCCGTGCTCGTGCCTCACATTCTGAGACGATATCGGCGAAGTCTTGCAACGACTGACCTTCCGACCAGTTCGCATGTCCTGCTGCGACGGAGCCGCTTGCAGTTGCACACAGGCATGAACTTCGACTGTCTTAGCGGTATGCACCTGCACCCCGTCCTAACACAAGTACAAGTTTTCGCTCCCACATTTGGACTGGTGGCTCGCGGATCACCGTTCCTTGAGATTGAGTCTTCCGTTTCGGGTCTAGCGTTTAGGGTCTAGTGTCTAGGGCCAGCTTGGGCATGCCCGAGGAGCTGGCAAAGCCCGTGCTCGATGCCTCACGTCCAGATTTCGAGCAGCCAGCTCACATGGGGCGGACACACAGCCGAGCCCTTGGCCCTTGCTGCAGCAAACACATGTCTCTGGTGGCAAAGGCCATTAGCCAACAACAGCGCAGAAATCTGGAAAAAAACATGCCGGTGGAGTGGTGGGAGACTGACAAGGGGGTCGAGGCCAGGGCATTCTTGTGCAAACTGAACCTAAACCCTAACTCCTAAACCCTACAAAGCCCCTTAGTCCGGCCCGAAAGCTTTGACGCAAAACCTGGAAGTTGCACGGCGCGTCACGGGCAGATTAACGGTTCGTCTCGGGTAAAGCCGGGGTTTCCAATCGGCAGCTCCAAGGGTACTATAAGGGTCCTTTTAAGGGTACTGTAAGGGTTTATAGAGTTTCCGAAAATTATGGGGTACCTTATTTTGGGAGCTTTGAAGACAGCGCCGACTGGTTCTAGGACCCTTGCTTTCCGGGCTAGCCTCGTAATGACATCTTCACCGGTCACGCCGGTCGCGCGGTGGAAGCCTCTGCTGTTTCATGAAGCCCCAGAGAACTAAGCGGATCGGCAGTGGGACTTGGAAGATTTCAACTCATAAACCCTGACTGAGCCCTGAATCCTAAACCCCAGAATGAGTTGACGAACTAGGCAGTGCATTCTGCCCTTAAGCCGCCACTCCAAAGGCTGGACGCAAGCTGGGGCCTTTGCTATGCCCAAAGGCGGTGTGAAGAGTCCTCCGTAGGATGGGAGAGGAGCCAACTGCTTTGTCATCTGAGTCGCTTCGCCTCAAGCCGAGGGTCAGCGAGTTGCCTGGATGGGTCTTAGAAGTCCCTCCTAGGGCCCAAGTCAAGGTTTTAGTTTAGGGCTAGCTTGAGCGTGCAGGAGGACCCGGCAAAGTCAGTGCTCAATTTCGAGCAGTCAGCTCACGTAGGGCGGACACACAGCCGAGCCCTTGGCCCTTGCTGCGGCAAATACACATGTCCAGTGGCAAAGGCCATTGCGTTCGCCACGCAGGCTTCGTCGGAAGTCAAGCATGCGGATCCAACGACATTGTCGTGACGCCCAAAACACCCACCAGCATCGCAGAAATCTCTAAGAGCATGCCGTGGGAATGACTGCTGCTGCGGCACGGCAACAAGCCCAATCCAAATCAGCGAAAGCACACTGCGCAGCCCCGTGGTGTGGCAGAAGCATTGCATACCTCAAACTCCAAGCTATAAAGGAACAGCATGAGTTGTACTTTCAGGAAATGCAAACATTCAAAGTAGAACACTCTCCCGCAAGGTCCAAGTATCCAGAAATAGAGCTCCAGGTGCCAGAAGAACGGCCCATGATTACAGGGGGAGGTGGCGGGGGTAGCATGTTGTAATTGTGCATGTATCTGCAAAATTGACACATGCATGCAGCCCTTGCTGCGGCAAATACACGTGTCCAGTGGCGAAGGCCATTGCGTTCGTGACGCAGGCTTGGTGGGAAGTCAAGCATGCGGACCCATCGTCGTTTCGTTACACCCAAAACACCCAACAGCATCGCAGAAATCTCTGAGAGCATGCCGGTGGAGTGTGACTGCTGCTGCAACTGCAACGGCAAGCCAACCCCAAACGGGCGACAACACACTGTCCAACTCTTGGGCGTGGCAGAAGCACGGCTCCTGTTGCTCAGGTCACGCAAACTTCCTGTGTAAAGGTCCGGCAGAAGAGCAGGAAGGACTGCTGCTGCAGCTACAAGTGCAATGCGATCATCGCTTGGGGCACGCCTTTGCCCTTGCTGCGGCAAACACATGTCTGCAGCGGCGAAGGCCAGAGCGTTCGTGACGCAGGCTTGGTCGGAAGTCAAGCATGCGGATCCATCGTCGTTTTCGTTACACGCAAAACAGCCAACAGCATCGCAGAAATCTCTTAGAGCATGCCGGTGGAATGCGACTGCTGCTGCAACTGCACGGTAAGCCAACCCCAAACGGGCGACAACACACTGTGCAGCCCTTGGGCGTGGCAGAAGCACGGCTCCTGTTGCCCAGGTCACATGACATCAAGTATGCAGACTTCCTGTTATGCGCGCATCGTAGCCCATGCTTCATCAGCCTCGCCATCATTTTTCATGAGACCGACTTCAATCAAAACTTCGCGTAGACAGCAAGCTGATGCAACGCCGTACTTGCTCCTGCCCTGATGAGAGGAAGCTGCCTGCTACCTGTTGCGTGGCTTGCTGGAAAGATCTCCCCACCCCGACAGATACATCAGCAACGTGTCCGCAATAAGAGGAAATCCTGGCCAAAGCAGCACTCAATATGCACCTCGCGACTTCAATATCAAAGCTTCCACGATTGAAAATCCTCAAAAGAGATTTACGTGTGAACTTAGCGTGAAGTCCGGTCTAACTGTCCCTATGGAGGATGACTCGGACTGGCGCCGAAGATCTGGCCTCCAACAACGGCATCTTCATGAACAGCATGGACATCAGATGGATCAAGGATGAGCACCCTTGCCTGGGAACACAGGGCGCGAGCCGGCTGCGCTTAGGGTGCGTCAACTGCCAGGCTCACCACGCTCTCAGCACCAAACGGCCTGCCGTGCCTCTGAACCTTGCTCTTCTAGAAATGAGAAGCGCAGGCCGGAAAGGACATTCGCACCACAAGCAGGCGGGGGAAGCTGCGCCGGTTTTGCACGGCCTTCACACCGCGCTTGCAGCCTTCTTCCCCCATCCTGAACCCGGGTTAGCATCCGGGAACTTGTCGGCCACCAAGCTACGGCGCTTTCTTCAGGCCTTCTCGCACGTTATCCAGGTATGAACTTCGACTGTCTTACCGGCATGCACCTGTACCCCGTCCTAAAGCAAGTACAAGTTTGCGCTCCAACATTTGGACTGGTATCGCCGTCCCCTCAAACTCCAAGCTATAAAGGATTAGCATGAGTTGTTCTTTCAGGAAATACAAACATTTAAGCTAGAACACTCTCCCGCAAGGACCAAGTATCCAGAAATAGAGCTCCTGCCCATGATTACGGGGGGAGGTGGCGGGGGTAGCATGTTGTAATTGTGCATGTATCTGCACACATGACACATGCATGCAGCCCTTGCTGCGGCAAATACACGTGTCCATTGGCGAAGGCCATTGCGTTCGTGACGCAGGCTTGGTCGGAAGATGTCGGAAGTCAAGCATGCGGATCCATCGTCGTTTTCGTTACGCCCAAAACACCCAGCAGCATCGCAGAAATCTCTGAAAGCATGCCGGTGGAGTGTGACTGCTGCTGCAACGGCACAGCAAGCCAATTCCAAACGGGCGACAACACACTGTTCAACCCTTGGGCGTGGCAGAAGCACTGCTCCTGTTGCCCAGCTCCAGCACAGCTAGTAGCACGACATGACATCAAGTAAGCAAATTTCCGGTGTAAAGGTCCGGCAGAAGAGCAGGAAGGACTGCTGCTGCTACAAGTGCAAATGCGATCATCGCTTGGGACACACAGCCGAGCCCTTGGCCCCTGCTGCGGCAAACACATGTCTGCAGTGGCGAAGCCCCTTGCGTTCGTGACGCAGGCTCGGTCGGAAGTCAAGCATGCGGATCCATCGTCGTTTTCGTTACGCCCAAAACAGCCAACAGCAGCGCAGAAATCTGAAAAAAACATGCCGGTGGAATGAGAGACTGACAAGGAGGTCGAGGCCAGGGCATTCTTGTGCAGACTGAACCTAAACCCTAACTCCTAGACCCTACCAAGCCAAGTTCAGACCCGAAGCTTTGATGCAAAACCTGGAAGTTGCGCGACGCGTCAAGGGTAAAATCATGAGTTGGTCACGGGCATTCGTCTCGGGTAAAGCCGGGGTTTTCAATCTGCAGCTCCAAACGCAGAGCTTTGAAGACAGCGCCGACTGGTTCTAGGACCCTTGCTTTCCTTGCTAGCCTCGTGATGACATCTTCACCGGTCACGCCGGTCGCGCGGTCGAAGCCTCTGCTGTTTCATGAAGCCCCAGAGAACTAAGCGGATCGGCAGTGGGACTTGGAAGCTTTGATGCCAAACCTGGAAGTTGCGCGACGCGTCAAGGGTAAAATCATGAGTTGGTCACGGGCATTCGTCTCGGGTAAAGCCGGGGTTTTCAATCTGCAGCTCCAAACGCAGAGCTTTGAAGACAGCGCCGACTGGTTCTAGGACCCTTGCTTTCCTTGCTAGCCTCGTGATGACATCTTCACCGGTCACGCCGGTCGCGCGGTCGAAGCCTCTGCTGTTTCATGAAGCCCCAGAGAACTAAGCGGATCGGCAGTGGGACTTGGAAGATTTCAACTCATAAACCCTGACTGAGCCCTGAATCCTAAACCCCAGAATGAGTTGACGAACTAGGCAGTGCATTCTGCCCTTAAGCCGCCACTCCAAAGGCTGGACGCAAGCTGGGGCCTTTGCTATGCCCAAAGGCAGTGTGAAGAGTGCTCCATAGGATGGGAGAGGAGACAACTGCTTTGTCATCTGAGTCGCTTCGCCTCAAGCCGAGGGTCAGCGAGTTGCCTGGATGGGTCTTAGAAGTCCCTCCTAGGGCCCAAGCCCACTTGCATCAACTATGCGGAAGGAAGCCCTCGAAGGCACCGTGAATGTAATCCTTAAAGGAGCCCTTGGAGGAACCCTTAAAGGAATCCTTAAGGGAGACCTTAAGGGAGCCCTTAAAGGAGCCTTAAAAGGAACCCTTAAAGGAACCCTTAGAAGGAGCCCTTAAAAGGAGCCCTTATAGGGGCCTCCTGTGCAGCTCTTGCAGGCATCGCAGGAACGCATCGTGTTCTTATTATTCTCAATACGCGCAGCTCAGGTCCCTGCTGCTCATCTCGCCTACCTTCCTACATGTTGGCGGGTTTAGGGTTTAGTGTCCGCTGCTACCTTCAAACGCTGGGAAGTGGTAGCCGAGCTCCTTCCTGAAAGAAAAATGTTCACATCACACGCCGTCCCCCTGTGACAACCTCTTGGAAATTCATGCCTGATCTTGCGGATGCGCTCGATTCCAAGATCAACATGTTCGTGCCCGAGTAGGCATGACAAAGCGGAGCGGCTTTGTGCAATCTTGGGCGGGGCGGGGTCCAATTGCAGGTCTTCGGAGTGCGAAGCCCGTGATCAGGATGGCTTTGCAATGAATGTCCAGCGAAAGCTTCGTGATCACAGCCGATCCCTCCGAGCTGGCGTCACCTTGATCATCATCTGCTTACAAAGCTCACGTCCCACGCATGGGCTCAGACTTGAACGGCCAAGGCCACGGACAGCCTGGATGTCACAGGCGTTGCAGACTTGAGGGCACCAGTTTCAGACTTGTCAAAGACCCACGGCTGGCAGTCTCGGAAAGCGGTACCCTCAGCTCGATGGCCTGCACTTCCTGGCAGCAGCCTGGGAGAAGAGTTGCAGACATGAAGAAGCGATCTTGGGCAGGCACGCGCGGCCGTCGCAGCACTAGCTTTAAACATATCTGCTGTAGTTGCTGGAGATGGACTGCTGCCAAAACACCAACCAGTGGCATTTCAGCCTTGGCTGCCCTGTTGCATTGCCGGCTGGGCTCATACAACTCAAACAGTGTTGAGCATCAGAGGCTGCACCAACCCCTAAAGCGTGGACGCGTCTGCCTGCCCTCCATTGCTCCCGCTTACTTTCAACAGGACTTCGGTTCTTCGGACCTTTACAATTTATGCAGCTGGCTGGATTCCGGTGAGTCGCTGCAGTGCAGTTCTCACATATGCAAATTTGTTTCTTTCAGCTCCAGGAACGTTTCCGCGTGGTGGTCTCTGTTGAGCATGTTCCGGTACCAAATAAAACTCCCGGTGGGCCCGCCACAAGGATAAGGTTTTGGGAATCGTGCTTGCAAGAAACCAGAAGGCCCAAGTAACAGCGTGTGTTCGGCCGCAGTGCACAATGTGACCGCATCTGAGGGGCAGGCTAGTAAGGCCAGCTGCTTGCCTGTCTGACTTGCGGTATCTTGTGGTCAGCGTGGGCAGCAGCCCGTAATTCAAAGTTGGGAAGTGGTAGCCGAGCTCCTTCCTGAAAGAAAAATGTTCACATCACACGCCGTCCCCCTGTGACAACCTCTTGGAAATTCATGCCTGATCTTGCGGATGCGCTCGATTCCAAGATCAACATGTTCGTGCCCGAGTAGGCATGACAAAGCGGAGCGGCTTTGTGCAATCTTGGGGGGGGCGGGGTCCAATTGCAGGTCTTCGGAGTGCGAAGCCCGTGATCAGGATGGCTTTGCAATGAATGTCCAGCGAAAGCTTCGTGATCACAGCCGATCCCTCCGAGCTGGCGTCACCTTGATCATCATCTGCTTACAAAGCTCATGCTCCACGCATGGGCTCAGACTTGAACGGCCAAGGCCACGGACAGCCTGGATGTCACAGGCGTTGCAGACTTGAGGGTACCAGTTTCAGCTTGTCAAAAACTCACGGCTGGCAGTCTCGGAAAGCGGTACCCTCAGCTCGATGGCCTGCACTTCCTGGCAGCAGCCTGGGAGAAGAGTTGCAGACATGAAGAAGCGGTCTTGGGTAGGCACACGTGAGGAGTTCTCAATGCAAAACACCAGCAACGCCGAGCGAGATTACCTAGAAGGGGAGTAAGTAGAAAATGAAGGGCAAAAACGACTTGCAGGAGTTATCTCTCGACTCGCGACGCCAAGGTCCCTTGAATTCCCAACGTTCCGGTCACGCGTGCACAGCTGAAAACGTTGGCAGGGAAACCGCATGGAAGAGACAACGCTCAGTCGGTGCAACTTTGCTGAAGCATCGTTTTCGAGCTTGTGGACTTTATGGCGCACACGTGGCACGCATGTGGGCTAGCTGCGAGAAAAGCTTTGAGGAACCAGTAAGGGTGCGACTTTCTGTCCTTGGACGATCACCTGTCGGCAGCGGGAAGCACCTAAGCCTGAGCACACCTCAACCCCAAACCGAGTGGTCATCACAGCGATCCGAGGGTGGCCTCAACTAGGCTGTGCGTTGCTTCCACAATTCCACAGAGGACCGGGCAAGTGCAGTCCGAGGCATCCAGGCACGAAAGCAGCCGATCTCAGCTCTGCACTTGAACTCCTGAGCTGCAAACGACATGGGAACATTGGAGCCTCTTGTTTAGAGGCTCTACATTAGGGCCCCAGAATGAAGAAGCCCAAGAAGGTAGGGATATCCTCATAAAATGCTTATGCTTATGTCCTTTTTGGGTCCCTAATACATGCCTCGTCATCTTCAGAACGTCAAAATCAAGATCGTGCTGTGCCTCTCACCGCCTCAAGGCCTTGAAGAGCCGCGCTATCCTCCAGCTGCACTGCTGCTCTCCATGAGCCTACCCAGAGGCCCCATAGTAGTTCCTTTTTGGGATTACCTTATAGGAGTCTAAAGATGAACCCCAAAAAGGAACTAGTACAGACCACGAGGCCCAAGAAACCGCCGGCTCCGAACTGACTCGGGGTCTACAACGCCCCGTTCCATGGCAGGAAGGTTTGGGGGTGGAGGGTTTAGGGTTTAGGGGGTGGTTTCAAGACTTTGGGATGGCTCTGTGAGACTGCAACGCACGCCTTCATAAACTGCAGAGCTGAATTGCCGAGGCCCCATACCGACATGCCCTGCACTCCTGGGCAGCGTCCTTCGGTCATGCTAAGCAAAGACAAAAGCCGCGGTGGAGTAGCTTTGGCATCTCGAAGTTTAAGTCTCGAAATGCCCTGACAATGTCAAGGCTGTCAGGGCTCATATGACTGCTCCTTGAGTGCATGCGGGGCTGCCGCACCTGCACAGGCATCGGGGATGGCACGGCTTTGATGTGGATCAGCACCCCCTACAGCCACGGACGC